GAATTTATTAACCAATAAAATTGCATGTTTTAGTTTTAAATGAATACCTCATTTATATCCCACCTCTTTTATATCCCCGAAAACTCCTTGCCCCAAAGTCGGGATATAAAAGAGGTATGACTGTAATATTAATGAGATATTAATATTCGAGTTAATATTAATATGTAAGCTCTTACTCTGTGATGCGCGTCGATCATCATGCTAATCTTTTTTAGTAAATGATTTTCGTGCATCTATTAATATTAAAAAGGTTAACTAGTCACGTCGGTTGTTTACACAACAAACTTTTTATTTTGTCCCAGGCACGTTTGAGTGTCTGGAAAGAAGCTCTCCCTCCTTGGTAAATACATGAACTTTTCTTCTTCTCAATAAACGAGAACTTTTTTTTTCTATTACTTTTACGGCCTGCCTATCCTATCGGGGAGGGAGAATATAAATGGCAGGACGGGAAATGTCTACTGGTGACATGAGAAACGACCTTGTGTCTGCCGGTAACCGTGAGGGAACACGGTTTTCGAACAGCCGGTAAGTTTACTCGATACTGATTATTAAGTCTCAATCAATTTTAGTGCCGGCCTTCGTGCTTAATATCACACACCGTTCGTTATGTAGGCAAGTCAGTGTCGTGTTAAAGTTTGCGTTTACGCAATTATTTTTTTTTTTAACCGACACCATGATCGAGAAGCGATGGTGGCCGAAAATGCGTGAGTATCAAGCTTTGATAGCGAACTAGTACGAGCTATTTTATACGAAGATTTATTGAATAAGTTGTTATGATTATGTATTTTGTTAGAATGCTGTCCTCGTACCGCCGCGCTTCTCGTGCTTGAGAAATTAACACTCAAGAAAAATGCACGTCCATCGCCGATGGTGGACGTGAGGCCCGAATGGTATCATCGGAAATTTGTGAGTATGATTTCAAATACTAACAATAATGATCATTGTTTAATACGATCTCTAACTATCGATAAATTATTATTCGTACAGACATTCAGCCGTCGTCGTCGCCGCCGCAACCTCCGTCGCCGCAACAGCCGTCGCCGAGCCGCGATGGCTGTCGGCAAAAGGCAATCTGAGCGGGCTTTGGCCGTGCGGTCAAACTCTTTTTAGTCCGCTTGGATTGTTATACATTTATCCCTTCTGTTATCATATTGACAGCAACGGGATAGATGTATAGAATCCCCCGCCGCCCCCCCCCCCGGCCGGCTTTTATGGTGGGGAAATAAACATACATCATTTTAATTTTTCATTTCAATTTTTTAAATATTATGATGACCATAATTTAAATTTATATGGTCATACTTGGCATTAAGCCAAAGATAATAAATATTACAATATAATAATAATAATCATCGAACACAATGTCCTTGAACATAAATTTTAAATGTAATTCATACAGCATACGACCAGGAGTTAGATGCAACTGTGCTTACCTGTTCTAATCCATATGCATCACTAAAATAAAAAAAAATTAATATTGTTGCAAGTGATCATTAACGTCGCTATACTGTTCATCCTAGTTATTCGAATATATGCGTATTGATTTACCTATGCCTTATGGTTCAATTCGTGCACCAAAGACACTAGCATCTACGAATGAAATCATCAGACTAGCACGATGCTTGAATTTCGAACAAAATCATGCAATGCTGTATTAAAGTCTTCTTCCGATATGATCCGATATTTATAGACAACTCGTATCAGCCAAAGAAGCTTGCCGCATATGCCGGTAAAAAAAGGTAATCGTCGGTGATATAAATTTTGAGAATTAATTCAATATTGCTGTAATGCAGATGAGTACTAATGCAGAGCGTCTAACCCTATCTACGGTTGTAGATGCGCGAGGTATTATGGTGTTTCGAATGACTTATAGCATTGAGTTCAATGGACGCATTATCATGTACTGTAAATCGACCGGGCGTTCTTATAATTTTCGTCGCGTATACAGTGCGGCGTAGTATTCTTGTATATCCTTCTAATTGTATGTCTTAAAGACTCTGCTTGTTTTATTAAGCAAAATAAAGTTGTGTATCAACAGCTTGCATGAGAACTCGTACATGTATATAGCATTATCAAGGCTACTTACACGTCATTTGTGTGGGGAATATGACGCTGATTATCTTCATTGTTATGTTGCATGTCGAATCAAGTATGGGGGGTTGACGAAGAGATTATTTTGGTGTGATTGGGAACGGCTTTTCGCGCCAAGAGTATACGCCGGTAAGTAAAGTAGCAGTGGTTTTTGAGTAAGCGCACAAGAAATTAAGACAGTGAGTTATGAGATTAATGGGTGTAAATGGATAAATGCCGTATATTTTGGATGCTCTCTTGGGCATAAGCCCCAATGTTATTGATATTATTCTTGGAGCTGCAAAAAACTTTGTCGGAAATGTAACGTTGAGTTTAGCGCTTACGGCGCCTTCTTTCACTACCAAGTTCTTCATGGTAAGCCATATCGGCTCGGATCTCACTTTGAGTTATAATGTCTGCACCTTCACGGTGTTGGAGTCGGTAAAAACTTTTTGACATCAATATAACAACTACACAATTATTGTGTTTATTTGCTTTTAAAATTCTGATTTGTCCCGTTCGTAGCGTATTAAATTATCACACGCTTTTTCTTCCGCATTCAGTCTGTTAACGGCACGTTCCAAGAATCTCGATATTCAATCGCTGTTTCAACGCGTCCCAATTCTTGAATTGTAAGTCCCCTTCCGACCGACATTGGGGTTGAAAAAGTGAAAACCAACTAGTAAATTAATGATAACAAAAAGAAATATCACCATTATGAGTACTGCTACAAATAATGTCAAAATTCAAGCAGTATCGCGTTAAATTCACATACCGAATAAAGCAGATGCTTTAACCAACACATCTTCCACAAATATAGAGACATCTTCGGTAACTTCAGAAACATTATCAACCCTGCATCAGCATTAGAGAACTCCTTCCTTAGTCCAGTACCGAAATGTTCAAGTAATAATACGGCGATCAAGAATCGAAATCTTCGTTATCGCGCACAAACGATGGTCGTCTTTGTTCAGCAAGCCACTCTTCCCGATACCGTTGAACCTTCTAGAAAGAAGGCGTTCTTAATATAAAGAACGTAAGGCAATATGCCCACTAATCCGATTAAACATGTCTTATCCAGAAAACTATTGATATTACAACAGTAAAAGTAGAGATGACGGAAAGGCGAGTACGGAAATCAGGTAGCACACTTTGTCGTTTCCATTTTATCTGTCTTCCTGATATGGTTGTGGTTCGTAAGTGGTACATCAAACGACGAGCCAAACGTAGTCGAGATCTAAACTAATATATCTTAATAATATAATACGCAACCAATTACAATATAGAAGGATAATACTAAGTATTGCTGAGAAACTAGAAAACGCACCATAAATAGTACTCACGTTCGTTTGCTCTTATTCTCCCTATTAGATAATGATAGCCATATGTAGAGTAGATACTTGGTGTGATCGGTACACACTAACGCCATGACGACCTAAACGCAACAAGGCGCGATCTTCACCTCCCATCACCCAATCCTTCCTTCTCTTCCTTCATTTCCTTAGTGTTCCGCTTTTTAAAGGTCTTTGCATAACTGGATCAATTAAACTCAAAACCGGGATGTGAATCGTTCGTGATGTTGATAATCCATGTTAACATTCCAATTAGCCATCAAACGGACATTTGATTACCGAATCGCTTTGACACTTCACACTTCGGTTAAACGGTCCAGTCCCGCATTTATACGGAATGCAGTATCTATCGTTCATGCTCACGACAACGTTCTGATCTCGACGGAACACTAGATGTTGGGAGAAGTAAATTTCGGTGAAAAAAGGAAACATTTTGTGTGTGTTACATATCGGGAGACATCGATTTAATGAAATTTATAGTTGAGGTGTTAGCAACCTTAGAATGGCTTTGGCGTGTGGTAACAGTCGACATGTCTGCAATGCGTTCGCCATTCCGTAGCCGTAAACATCGTGGATTGTACCCATCGTATGCGATAAAGGACATTGGCTTCACCAAAAAATGAATTTCAACATTACAAAGAGTGAACAACACTAACAATCATATGCGGCACTCAATCCAGTCTGCATTTCATTCATTTACGCTTGTTAGGCCCGTGAACGAATGTACAAAATTATATCCGGCCCGAACACATAGTACTACTGCACTGTGATGGATTTTGATAACTCCCAAATGCACACACGTGATTTAGATTTTTAAATTATATTAAATTTCGAAAAGTTTATTATGATTAGTTCAGACCATTATACTTCAATACTTCCAACAAAAAATATATTAAATTAATTGCGAAAAATTAATAATTAAATACAATACTTTAAAGGGTTGAGATACCCATGCTACTCAATACATTGAATATGACAAAATAAAAACAACCATTACTATTACTATTACTACTGATTATGATTACGATGTAATAAATACATATGGCGAAAAAAAACCGATAGCACAAGTTCAAATTGAGGCAGTGAAAGGCGAGTGAGCTACAAAGTTAGAAGAAAGAAAAAAAATTACTATCACAGAAAATAGTATAGTTGTGCAGATTTAATCTTCATGAATTGTCTATTAGATTCTAATTGAAAAAAAAGAAAATTTTCTGTTGATTCCGCCTTTACTACTCAAATCTACAAACTGATTTGGATAATTGGGAAAAAGCAAATCTGGGAAACTACCAAATTAAAGAATATGTTGTCACAAGTATTTTTAAATGTTTTTCTCTATTCAATCTTTTAACTCCATCAAATACCAGTCTCAGTGTGCCATTAGGACCTTTTCCTATAATTTCACCTTCATTGAGAATATATTATAGTTAATTTGCTTGCATACTACTTCAGCTTGAATACCAAATAAATGCTACTTAGATAATAAATTCTACTTACTTGTTGATCATGTTTTGTGCACAACCATGTGCATATGAATAACCTTGATCTGCAGCTTTTTGATATCATTCAACTGTAGCCAGCTTCTTTTCCTCAAATGACAAGGTCCCAATACTTTATTAACCACTCCTTTTCTGGAAACTTATAAGGTGTGATGCCAACTACTTTTCCGTATTGTTCTTCGAGTTTGGTTTTAAGCCCATCTTCCACTATTGGAACATTGGAGAGCTTCATAAGGACGTATTAGTATTTGTTGCGGGATGATTGCAACAAATGGTTTCTTGCCCTGGACCTTGAAGGTGGCTCCTAAGGCGGTTTCAAGATTTCTTCATCCTTGCAGACAAATTCCACAACCCGTAGGTCACTGGGCGGCAGCGGCGGTTCGTTATTCGTATCCATTTGTCGCTTTCTCCTATATGTCGGATCTTAATCAACACGGTTGAACTGTGTGAAGGAAATATACCCTTAAGAAGCAGGGTTTCCCTTATTATCGCACCGGTAGGCCTTATATTGAGAAAAGCGCGATTCCTGAACATTTCCTGATCAGTTCGTGTAAATGTATAAGATCTGCAATTTTTCACGCTAATAAATGCACACCCGAAAATGTTTATTACGCTACAGAGTCACGTCCCTTGCTGACTCAAACTTTATTGAAATTTGTAACGCGTACTGTTATGGTGACGCGTACAGTAGATCTTTGTTTACCGAATCCAAAACGCCATAAAAACAAATCATTTCGTTTTCTCTTATTATTATTATCATTGCCTTTTTTTTTAATATTGAAAACAGGAACTCCCAATGTTGGGTTACGAAAAGGCAGTCTTTATTATTATCATTGCATCCGAAAAGGATTAACTCTAAAACATGTATGTTATTGGTACATTTAAACTTCATATTAGTTAAAATCTCTCTACCCAGGCGCACTATTAATATTTAAATCATAATTTAATATTAATATCAGGTATTACTTCTACCGCACTTAAAAGTATGGAGAAGTTAGACACGCGCAAATGCAGAAATAAAACGTGCAGAGAAGGGGTTTTTTTTCGAGTTTGCTCAGCAGCTTATATTACAGCTGCAATTATCCAAAAGGAGAGAAACTCTAGCATCAATGTATGCAAAATTTTCGAACTTTGAGTTTACTCAATGCGACTGTAAGAGTCATAACAACCAGATATCCCATCATCGATAGAGAATATCGGTGGGGGTCCCGCCTTTTATCGATGGTGTTCGGGCAAACGTAGTAAATGGCGACGACGTTGTTTACTGGTCGCACACCTACAGAAAAATACAAACCTTACTAATGCTAAATACATATATTATAATTAAATCCTACCTTTTCTGTATGTTCATTTTTAATGTAACTAAAACAAACAAGATACTAAAATTGTGTACTTGTGATTCAATAAACTGAAACTAAATAATAAGAAGAATGTTTTTCAGGAAGATGTCATAACAATTATCTGTGACTGTTACGAGAGCTTCCAACGAATTCTTGTATACAAGGAAACATATACACATTGTAATAGTAAATACTAGCATTTTGTTATCCATGATTCGTGTCTCAAGTTTAACGTTGGAATAGAGATTAGATATTTTATTATCCTCCATTTTAATACGTAATAAATAGAATTGTATACTCGAATTGTATTAGCAAAACTTTTAAATATTAATATTTGAAACATATCAAAATTTCTGTTATGTGTATTCGAACAATGTTCTTCCTATCTATCAATATTCTTATTTAGATCTTCCCAACTCACCACTATCTCAACCTGTCCGACCGACAACGTTCACCATTCAACACAGTAACCACATTTCATCGAGCTATACAAATACGTTTCCTTTATTCTTTGTCTGAATGTTCAGAGTTTATATAATAAAAACTATTAACAATCAACTGATTCCGTATTTATCTCGTTGAGAAAGACAGGTACATTTCCCTAACATCTTGTCCTCGCGCTAATCTTTTTTTAAAACTCGCTTGATGATTGTCATTAAGTGTTTCTATTATCTCTCTTTCTCGCACAGTTAGTTTGTTCTCTGGGTCATCTAGTATTTTTTTGTATTTGTGATGAGCAAACTACACCTTTAAACGATCAACAGCCTCATCGTATTGTTTTGAAAAAAAGGTTGCATATGGATATATTTGTCTTACTATTACGCTAATTGATCGTTTGTTTCTATTTCGTCTGCTTCCGCATTGATTTTCTCTCCTGATTTACGTTCGTGTTATTCTTCTTACAATATAGTTATTAACACAGATTAAATATCGTACCAAACATTCGTCGATCAGCTGATCCCAATTTCTGTATTCCATTGGTCCCGTTCCCGAATACGAGTTCTGAATATGGTAATAGACGGTATAAATTTAGTTAGCACCATGCAGCGAATAAGCGTTTGTTTTTACTTCAATATTCAAATTTCAATTTCAATATTCAATTTCAATTTCAATTTCAATTGAAGTTAGGGACGAAGGTTGTTTATATGTGTTTCGGAAAAAAAAAAAGAAAAAGTTTTTTTTTGCTTGACAGCACAACAAACCCAAAAATGGTCAACAAATGTCAATGTCAATGCCAATGCCGTGTGATGATCAATTTCTGCTAATCCTTAAATAGTCTTTACGGAAATTTCTATTTAATGCAAGCTCAAATTAGTTATAAATCGTATATTGATTTCTCGGCTTAGCATTAAACGAACAATTTGCCTATATTTGTAAATCAAAAGAGACGTCTCTTCAATGCGCCAACCGTTCGGGAAAATGTCTTCCATGTCAATATTTTTTTGGTTTTACCCAAAATGGTCAACAAATGGTCAATCCTAATGCCGTATAGCGATTAATTTCTGCTAATCCTTAAATAATCTAAGGCCAGCTTTACGGAAATTTTATTTTTAATGCAAGGCAAAAATTGTTGTAAATCGTATATTGATTTCTCGGCTGAGCATTAAATGAACAATTGGCTGTACTTTTTGTAAACCAAAAGAAGAAACGTCTTCTCAATGCGCCAATCATTCGGAAAAATGTCTTCCATCTCAATATTTTTTTGATTTTGCCAAAAATGGTCAACAAATGGTCAATCCCACAATGCCGTACGGCGATTAATTACTGTTAATCTGTTAATCCTTAATAGTCTAAGGCTAACTTTACAGAAATTTTATTTTTAATGTGCAAGAGTCCAAAATAGTTATAAATCGTATATTGATTTCTCGGCTTAACATTAAACGAACAATTGCCTGTATTTTGTAAATCAAAAAACGTCTCCTTAATCCGCTAACTATTCGGGAAAATATCTTCCATCTCAATTTTTTTGGTTTTGCACAGCAAACCCACAAATTGTCAATCCCAATGTCGTCTGTGTAACGCATACAGCCATATGGCGATCAATTCCCAATGCCGTCATACAGGCGTATGGGCGATCAATTTCTGCTAATACTTAAATAGTCTACGACGGAAAAAATTTTTTTCAATAGATCTAAAATTGTTATAAACCGTAATTTCTTAGCATTAAACAAACAATTGTAAATCAAAAAAAGAAAGGTCTCCTCTATGCGCCAACTGTTCGGAAAAATGAAACAAACGGTTGGCTGTAATTTGTAATCAAAAAAAGAAGCCTCTCTTCAATGTATACGCCAACTGTTCGGAAAAATGTCTTCCATGTCAATGCAATTACCAATAAGGTATTAATCTTTGATATTTGATATTTGACATTAAATCTAAAATATGTATGCCTTGTAAATAACAGTATCTGCGCGGAAAGACTTTCCCCAAAAAAACCACTGTATACGATTCATCATTAATGTGACAGCCTTCTAAACGTTGATTGTTCAAAACCGGTATTCGCCGCATACCCACCAATAAAACAACAATACGTTATATTTGTCATTTCACGCTAAATCTCAAAAATCTTAGCTTCCAATTATCACACCATAGTCCATGCTACCGTGTAAGCATCGATTATTCGAGACCGGTTTCCAGACACTCCTTGACTTCTCAATTAATAAAAAGCTTTGTCTAAAAATAACTACAACTTATTTATGTTAATATTACGCTTATCAATAAAAAGAAAACAAAGTGTGAAATAGAAATTAACTATAGCTTATTATTAATTTAAATCTGCTTCAAAACTTATAAATAAAAAAACATCTGCTTTACTCCAATCTTAAGGATTTTTTTTTACTATCTATCATCGACCAACCCGTCCTTTCTGATTATTACCGATTACTGATCACTAAAATGATTGCAACCCTCACGGCCATTATGTACATAGTTTCCGTTACAGACGAAGCATTCAACAATAAATCCGCTCAAAAGGGCTCTGCTATATCGAGAATCAACGCAGACGATGGTTACCAACTATACAAATTTACCGCCTACACATCTGAAAGCAGCTTATTAGAAACAGAGAATACGTCGTCTGAAGTCATGCAGCCACTTCAAAAAAACGGGGTGTAATTTCAGGAAAATTTATGCCACTTAAAGACAATACTTTCAATGTTGTAATAACGACGAGCATTAGATTACACATAGATGAAGATTATACTCTTATTTCGAAACCTATTGCACACTTGATCGGTAACACTACAAATAATGTAGATCTCACCAAAGCCGGTTACACACTACCGATACAAGTAAAACCATATTTATCGAAAGATCAATTTCAGCCGTATACAATAATGATGACCCATCCAATTAATGGTCGTTTAAAGAACGGCATTACCAAATCAAAGAAAAATTCGTTGGTTTATGCAACTGGAATCTTATTTTTCTTGGATAAACAATTATATTGTGAGCTATTGGAATTTCAATTTATTTCGACTAAAGTTGAAAACGACACCACTATCAATATTCCGTGGAAAAGTAGCAACTCTCTCATTGGCCAAACTAACGGAAAATCAGACATAGAACAAAGAATTGCACAAATTAGTCAACTTTGACTAACATACAAAACCGGAAACTATTATGACAAATGGCTGCATAACGCAATGAAGCAGTAGATAAATACTCGATTATTAATAAATTAAAACAGTAGTACAACACAATGCTTAAATTACAATTACAAACCACCATAATAAAAGCATATAAAATTTACGCTATCCATCACCATATTCAAAATTTGACCAATAAATTGGGATAAGCTGATAAACAAACGACTACTATAATATTTAACATATATTAAAAACAAGCCTACAGTTTAAATATAGCTCTGCTCATTTATTATGTCAAGCCTGCCCGACGAAGCCGGGCAGGCCCAATTTAAATTTCTAGTTGTTAAATTAAATTCAAGTGCCTTCTCGATCCATATAATCAGCGCTTCAATCAATATTTGTAACAGTCGAGGGACGAGCTTTTTTCAACTTTGCTTGGTAAGAATTCGGATCGATTGCAAGCCATTTGACAGATTCCTTCAAAATATCTGTAACTTGACCTGGACTAATACCAAATTGTCTTGCTAGATCCGCGTTTTTTGGTTTTGATATATCTTTCTTTAACAAGCAAATTTCGCGCTTTTGCAATGCCGAAATAAGGTTACGTTGT